AGTTCCCACGGCCCCCTCCTGGCCCTCACTGACTCCCCGGCCAACCCCTTGGCTCCCTTGGCAGCCCTGATACCTCTTCCCAGGGTGGTGCTCAGCACCCTCCACACTCAGGCTACCTTTGCATTTTTGTTTTCCCCTCAGAGCTAAATCTCAGACTCCTCCTAACACTTCTGCATTTGCCTCATTTCTGTTCCTTAGCTCAGTCATGAAAGGTCCTTTGGAAAATAATTCAGCTCACAGAAGATTTCCAGGGACAGAGCAGTTAACAGCAGTTTTGCTCTGTGCAATGCCAGCATGTGAAGGAAATATCCTACAGGCAGCAAAACCAAATTCTTTTCTACTCTGATTTCTCCTCCTGATGTCAATTAGCAGCTCTAGTTCTGTGTGGTGCTGCCCCAGCTGTGCTCCCAACCCTTGCACCTGTGTGTCCTATGCCCGTGTCCATGCCCAACTCTGCAGCACAGGCGTGGGTGTAGGCAGTGGGTAGAGCTGCTGCTGCCTTTCTCCAGTTCACAGTAGGGTGCAGCAGCTGCCATGCTGCATGTGGGGAACCAGACACCCTGCAGGGACCCCACATGTGGCCGAGCCCTCCCTGGGGGTGCGAGGATTGCCTGGAGGAAACTGGCCTGAGCAGACACAGCCTCCTCCCAGCCCAGGAGGATCCAGCCCTGGAGCTGGCAGCCACAAGGGTTGTGACTGACGACCCTCCAAAATAACACTGGGGCTGCCCTGCTCCAGTTTCCCAGACCTGCAGACCCCTCGGCAGCAGGGTCACACGGGGCTTACTGAGCGGGTGGTGGGTGACTTACCCCATGTGATGGCAGCGATGCCCAGGTAGATGCCACAGGAGCCCAGAGTCCATGTCCTCCCAGCAGATTGCAGTCCCACAGCAGAGTCCTGACAGGGAGGGAGAGCATGCACATCCCAGGAGGCTCACGCACACCCACAGTGCTGCCAGGCAGTCCTGGTGGACATGAGGGCACGTTTCTTGTGCCAGCTCATACACAGGCATGGATGGTCCTGCCAGGTGTGGCTCTGCTGCAGAAAGGGCCCTTCAAGGGAGGCACTTTGGGGGGCTGTGCCTGCAGCACGGCTGAGCAGTGAGGGAGACACTGCTGGCAATGCAGTTAACTCCTGGGGAGTCCCTAAATCCAGGGCATGTCCTGTGGCTTCCCAGCCCTTCCTGCTCAGCCAGGGCTGGCATCTGCCTTGCAGTGGCAGTGCCCTGTGTGCGTGGCAGTGCCCTGTGTGCCTGGGGTCACCCAGGCAGGGTGTCTCTGGAGCAGCCTGTGTGTATCCCACAGCCCCCAACAGTGGCACTAGTTGCTCTCAGTGCCTGCCCATAGCCCTGCCCTCCTCCAAATCCCCTTTTCCAGGGAGACCCTGAGTCATCCCCAAGGAAAGGAACAGGACTTACCATGTTGGTGCTGCAGACACCTTGCCCAGCCAGTGGCAGTGCCAGGCGTGTGTGGTCCCTGGCAGGCAGCGGTGCTCACACTTCCTCCGAGCCTGCAGAGCATTGCTCCCTGCCCTTGGCCTCTTCCCCTCCCACCCCAGCCCCACTGCCAGCCCTCATCCTGCCCCACATCACCACCTTCCGTACCACAGGGCTCTCCCACCCCGAGAAACCCTTCTCTCACCTGGGGCTGGAAGGGAACAACGGGATCCCCACTGACCATAGCCCTGGTGGGACTCAGCTCAGCACCAGCCCCATGGCATGGGAGCTGGGTGCACCCCCACACCGCCATAGGGATGTGACAACCACAGGAGCTGACCCACAACCAGCCAGGATTGCCCGAGCCCCCCAGGAGATGGAAAAAGGTCCCCCAGGAAGGGTTCAACCCCAGCCCATGGTGCCCAGGGCACCAAGACCTCTCTGACCCACCATGTCCATGTGGCGGCATCCACGCTGGTGGTTGGGAGACAGAGGAGGGATGAGGTGCGATGAGGTCCCACAGGGGCTGAGTGGGAGCGTGGCTCACAGCCTCCCAGCTCTCATGCTGGATGCTCTCCTCATGCGCAGGCTTTTTGCTCTGGCTGTGAATCCTCATATACCCTTTATAAACAGTTACTTACACAATGTATTTTCCTGTCCTTATCTTTATAAGAAAGGTCCAATAATATACCAGAGGAACTTCCCCTGCCTTCTTAATTTCCATTAGAAACTTCCACCAGAGTTTCAGGAATATGCCTAATTGTGTCCACCTCCCCTTGGATCATTCTTGAATCATAATAAATCTTTCCTTATCCCATTCTGCTCATACGTAAAACTGCCTTGGCAGGGTTTTCTGCAGGAATTACTCTGCTCGCTTCCAGCTAAAACCAAGCAAGAGCCATGCAGGTCACATTCATCTTCCAGTTCCAAAGAAATTGATTCTGCTCCACTGGGACTCATTCTAAACAAAAGGAGGAACCCATCCCACAAAAGTCATAACCCACTAATTACTTTATACTTGGCCAATACAAATGAAACTCAGTTCCTGCCTCTGGATATCTTCCTTGCATCATGCTTTACTGCAATTGTCTATTTTTATGGAATTACCAGGGATGAGTCTGTATGTCCAGTAATTCAGGAGCACTCGCTTTCTAGCAGCTCATCTGCTGAGGGTGGTCAATTACAGCACAGGAGAGGCAGGCAGAGAGGCTGAGGGGCAGCTGCTGGGACAGGAGAGCATCTCCAAATGCTGAGGGTCAGCTGGTCAGGGTGGGAACTGCCTCTCCCACTGATGAGACACCTGCTGGGACTCACAGAGGTGTTTGTGGGTGTGTGGCCCAAGGAGAGAGCAGGCTGTGCCCCTGCCAGTTTCACTTCTGCTGAAACCCAACACGGTAGGGTAGAGTAGTAGAAAAAAAATATTCCCACCTTTATTTTTGTAACTACAAATAGTTTCTGGTATTGTTCTAAAAACAGAATCAAGGTGGCTGACACTCAGAGGCGGCTGCTGCTGCTGCAAAATACATGGCAGTACATGGCCAAGTTCAAAGTACTTTGTGGGATCAGGTACCCCATGCCCACAGATACTTGGGCTCAGAGAGGGGGTCCTACCTGGCAGGACAGATATGGAGGGTTGCTTTGCAGGTAGTGGAAAAAGGTACACATGGTAGGAGGAAGACCCAAATCAGCTCTGCTGGAAGCTGGTTAATGGCCAGCAGCCCTTTCACATCTCAGATGATTTCCAAGGTTGGCTTCCCTGGAAAGGATTCAGGATGCTGCAGGACACATGCTCCCACTGGATTCCTGCTGCCTCGCTTACCAAGGAAGGGCCTGTCCCTGCCTGAGCAGTGCAAGGATTTCCTAGGTGGAAAGATGGTGCACCCTGTGCCCACCCCTCTGAGGGCAGAGCGCAAGCTCCAAGCCAGGGCTTTGCTCAGCATGTACTTGAGGGAGCAGGTACTAAGATACTTTCTTGTGTTACCTCCTCACTGTCCCTCTGGACGCAGGGATCTGGAATGGAAATGTGCCTCCTTTGCTGTGCCCTGGCACTGAGCAATAGACAGAGGCAATGCTCTCTCTCCCGTGAGAGATCTGCCACAGGCTCTGTCTCTGGGAAACGGGCACGGGTATGTGTTGTTTACAGCAGAGGCTCCTGCCCCACGGTGGCACAGCCTCCTCCCCTCCTTGTGCAATGTCCCCGGAGAGGAACTGCAGAGGAACCAACTCACCCTGGCACAGCCCGTCTGGCTCGGCTGCTGCCGGCGATACAGGGGGCACCTTCCTGGGGAGCCCCCCTTGCCCCCGGGGAGGGCTCAGCAGCCCACTGGGGCAAGGAGGCACCTGATGGCACCCCTTTGGGAGTGTAGCATGGTACCAGCGAGGACCCACACCCCTGGGGTGCAGCCTCATTGCTGCTATCCCTCTGTTCCTCCTTGGGAATTTGGGCAGCTCCCTCTGAAGCTTTAGAGGCATCTCCTGAGCATGGGAAGCAGATGATTCCCCTGCCCCCCCAGGTCCCCAGGGAGTGTTTGACCCAAAGGCTGTCCCTGGTCTGCAGGGTGCCTTTGAACAAGTCTCCCAGCATGGCACCTGGTGCACAACCCCAGCAGCCAGACCCTCCTCGGATGATCCTGGAGGAGAGCAGCACCCGATAAAAACTTTCTCACAATTTGGAAGTGTTTGGCCACAGGGAGACGCATTATGACTGCCACCCTGGACTGGAGGGGTGAGATGGTTGCAAGGATTAGTCAGGACCAGATGGACAGGGATGTTTCCAAGACAGTCCAGGGACAGTGGTACCCTACACCCCTCACCCACAGGGAACTTGCAACACTGGGACAGCCCTGGCTGTGGAATAGAGGGTTAGTTTTGGGGAAATCACTCCTGCCCACTCTTGTCCCTCTCAGAGATGTTTCTTCGATCTCAGGTGTAGGACAGCTCTCTGCCTCTTGCCTTCCATTGCCAAAGCAGTGATGGAGAGCCTTTTCACTGGGCATCACTGCCACTTGGGTAGCCCTGCCCATGCTGCCTGCTGCTCCCTGGCACCTGGCAGCAATCACATGTGGGTGGCACAGATAAGGCTTTGCCAAACAGGATGCTAGGGGCGTAGGTAACATTGACCTTATCTCACTGTTTGTGTGGTAGGGTGTAAACAAGTGACTCTGCCCACCTGGGGAATCCCAGCACCCCTGCCGGGCCAGTGAGCTGGAACACAGGGTGGGTATGGGGTGCTGGAGTGCAGCTCCACGTGCCACATCCAGGGGCAGCCCTTCAGCCATGCAAGCAGTCCTTGCCCTAAGTGACAGCAGAATCACTCAGCCTGCAGAGCTGCTCCTGGGAACTGTGATTGCTCTGCTTGTGCCCTGCCTAGCTCCCCATGGCATTGTGCACTCCTGGAATGCCGAGCCAACCACTAACCTGCCTGGCCCTCCCTTGACAGCACCCATCTTCTTGGCATGAGAGCAATACTTAGAGCTGTCACACTGGCTTGGCGCAGAGGCAACACAGGTGGTGGAGTCATTGGCAGATGACAGAGTAGGCCACCACCCCCCCCAAACATGACCAGTGCTTTTGTCACGTCTGGTTTAATGCAGAGATTTCAATCTTCTCCTGTCTCACAGAGCAAGCCCAGAGACAGATTCCTCTGTCTGCCACCTCTGTCACCCACTGCGTACTATTGCCTGTTCCCCTCCCCGGCCCAGCAGATGAATGTGCTCAGCACCAAGAGCTGTGTCTCCAGCCAGGGCCAGCCCCTGTGGAGCAAAAAACATCCCCTCCTCCAGCCAGGAAATCCTGCAGCATCCCCTCTGGCAGGCACTGTGTTTTCCTCTGAGACAGAAGTATCCTTGAGGACATCCTTCATCTTTTGGCAGGCCAGGGCTGAGCTTTCCTCTTTTAAAAAAGTTCCTCTTCTCTTTCCCAGCTCCCTCCTTCAGCACATAGCAGTTTGATGATTTCTCCCTTGGGATCTTGGTTATCCTTCTGCTCCAAGGAACTACTGTGTCATTTGACTTGCCATTCTATTTAAATTGCTGATTTATTATCTGCAGATAGGGCAGGCACTGGCACTGGTTTTAAGGTCTTTTTTATGTCCCAATCACTTCGCTTTTGTGAATCCACAAACTGCCCTGCCCATGCTGCCCATGTTGTTGCAAATCACTGGACTCTGCCCTGTGCAGCATCCCCTGTCTGTGTGATCCCGGGGACAGGGCAGCCCCTTTGGAATCACTGCTCCTGTGGCCATCCAGCTGTCCATGCACAGGGTTGGCAGCACTTGCTGAAGTTGGCTCTCCCTAAGAGTCCTGACTTTTGGGGCAAGCCCCTGCAAAAAAATCAAAAGCTAAAATAACAAGGAGAAGGACATTCCCTTTCTTGTCACCTTTGAAATTAATTCCTCCTCCTCTGACCTCCTGCAGCTCTGCTTTAAAGACCGAGATGATCACAGACACCAATTTAACTGTGCTTTGGCCATGGGCAGAGGGGTACAGACTCCTTCACATCTGAGCAGCAAGAGCAAAAGGTCTTTTCTGCACTTTTCTGACAGGAAATGGTAAGGCAACATAGGGAGTGCTTTCCTAGCTTCTTTTATTTTTATTTACCCTTGAAAGCAAAAGGACTATTTTGCAGAGGGATATTATGGGAGGACTCACTGGCCCAAAAGGACCTTCTCTCCCCAACTTCCCTGCTGTGCTGTGGGGATTTGGCTGGCCCAGCACTGTACCTGGCTCCTCCGGGCAGAGCAATGTGCAAGGTGCAGCTCCCCGGGCTGCCCAGCTCCGACCACTGGGCTGTCGGCTCTCCTCTGCTGCCTCTGCCGCTGTCACACCACCGTCACGCGAACACTTCCTGGTGCTCTGCGATACCTAGAAATCCGCTTTTGCTCTACGGGCACTGATGTCCTTCGGCAGAGGCGTGCGGCCGGGAGCACTGTCCGTCCCGATGGGCACCGGCGCAGGCAGCGAGCGGAGCTGTGCCGGCTGCGGCGTCTGTCCCCTCTGCCGCGGGGATGCTGCAAGGGCGCTGTGGGGGTGCCGGGGACTCCTGTGCTGTGTCCATTGGCCTGCAGGCCGTTGCTCTCCACGATGAGCCGGAGAAGCCCTGAACCAGGGAAGTCCATGATGACCACCCCCCAGCGCACAGGCTGCCTGCCCCGGCGCCGCAGGTGCTGGTAGCAGCGGGGGTTCACAATGCGGGCCACCTCCTCAGGGCAGGTGAAGAGCCCATTGCCAGAGCAGAAGGTGAGGTACATGGTGGTGGAGTCCCCGCCAGCTGCCTTCTCCAGGTGCTGCCGCACCCGGGCCCACTTGCGTTCCAGTGACAGCACATTCCAGGCATCGCTGATGCTCAGCTGCTCGTAGGGGATGCCCAGCACCTCCCGCGTGAGTGCCTCCAGTACCACAATCTTCCCACGCACCTGGCCCAGTGTTGGCACCTCCTCCTGGCACCACAAACAGCCCTGTCCCTCCTCCAGCAGGCAGCGATGCAGCTGGGCAGCGAACCCGGGCCGGGAGAAGATGGGCAGCTCCTCCTTGATACGCATGAGCACGGCCTCGCCAGGGTGGGCACGGAGGAAGCGCAGGGTGCGGCGCAGGACCCCGCGCAGGCTGGCCCGCTGGAAGGTGCAGAGGTGGTAGACACGGAGCTCGCCCCGTGACAGCTTGCAGCGCACATCCAGGAAGCGGATGCCGGCCGCCAGCTGGGCCTCCAGGCCCCAGCTCTGACACCGCAGGCGCCGGCCACCAAACAGGCTGAGGGAGTCGTGGGTGCCAGGGATGGAGAGGCGGGAGAGCGGCAGGGCGTCGGGGAGCTCTGCCATCCAGTCAGGGCAGTAGGCTGCCGGCTGGGGCACGCAGTCGAATGCCGCGCTACGCCGGCGCCATGTCTCCATGCCACCAGGAGAGCGGGCACCCCGGCGCCTGGCTGGCCCCCCTGAGCCCTGCCATGGAGGAGAAGCACACCATGAGCCGTGGAACCGCCACATGGCCCCCATGTATCCTGATCCCACCCCTCCTCAGTGGTATCCCCACCACACCATGAAACCCTATAACGTATCACATGCCCCATACACATTGCTGCCAATACTCACAGTTGCAGCGTACTGTCCCCTCCCACTCTCAAGCACTTTTCCCAGTACTCCCCCTCCTGCACTCACCTGGGTTTGCCTGTGGCTGCGGAGCGGAGCCCGACGGACGGGGTGCACGGCCGTGGGTGCCGGTGGCACACTGGCAGGTAGAGCGGGATGCCAGCCATTAACCCGGTGACAGTCATGACGCGTGTCCTGCCTCGCAAATGGCACGTGCACCAGGGATTCATCCTCAGCCCTCGGCCATGGGCAGCGCTTGACAGACATACCAGGCTGGAAAACTGCCTGGCTGATCCCGAAAGCAGCCATTCAGGCCTCTGCACCTCCCTCCCCAGGAATCAGGACAAACGGGATCGAGGTGCCGCAGGGCCCCTTGATGGCCCCATGGGAGAGGCTTCGCAGAGCCTGGGGTGCCCACACGCCTGCTCCAGAACCATGTCCTGGTGGGACCCGCACTGCCCCAGTGATGATCAGCCTCATCCCTGTCAGAGGGACAACGTCCAGGCAGGGACACGGTGCAACGGGTCTGTGCTTGTCAGCACATCCCAGGACCTGCTCAGCGAGAGCTCCGTGGGAAGTGGGTTTCATCCCCTTGTTCCTCAGCCACCGGTGGCTGCTGCACACTGGAATCACTGCAAGGCTGCCCGGGAGGTGGCCTACGTCCTGCCCAGGGCACCTCTGTCGGCAGCACACACTGAGCCCACTGGGTTTTGAAGAGGAGCCGCCCGACAGGTCACAGACCCCTCTGGGCATCCCTCCGGGTCACATCCCCTCCGCCTGAGCAGGGCGGGCACAGGGATCCTCGGGAGTCGCTTTCAGCGCTGGGCCCTGCCCCTGCAGAGACACCAACTGGGGACACACCAGCCGACACCTTCCAGCGGGGCTGAGCGGGGATCCCCGGGGCAGCCCCCGGGGCGGGGGGCAGACACTCCCCCCGGCCCTGGGAACGGCCCCGTCTTGCGTTCGGCCCCGTGCCGCCCCTCCCCGCCGCGCTGCCCGCCCCAGCCCCGCCGCAGCAGCGGCTCCCTGGGCGCGGCGCCCCGCCCGGCACAGACCGCAGCGCGGCGGCGCAGCCGCTCCCGCCCGGACCCGCCCCAGTCCCGCCGGGCGTTCCTCGCTATGGCGGCCGCGTCGGGTGGCGGCAGCGGCCGGACCTGCTTCGTCCTGGGCGGCTCGGGGGAGACAGGCCGGGCGCTGCTGCGTGAGCTGCTGTCCCGGCGGCTCTTCGCCCGGGTGACGCTGATCGGGCGGCGCCGGCTGAGCCTGGGCCAGGAGGCGGAGGCGGCCGTGGTGCGGGGGTCGGGTCCCGGGGCGGGGGCGGCTGCGGAGCGGGGGTTCCTGGGCGGCCGCGCTGACCCTCGGCCTCCCCGCAGGAGCAGGCGGTGGTGGACTTCGAGCGGCTGGGCGAGCACGCCGCTGCCTTCCAGGGGCACGACGTGGGCTTCTGCTGCCTGGGCACCACCAGGGCCAAGGCTGGCGCAGTGAGTGCCCCCCCCCCCCGGGAGAGCAGGGGTCCTTATTGCCCCCTGCCCTGCCTGCGCGCTCCCTGCCCTGCTGACCCTCCTCTCCCCTTTACTCGCAGGACGGCTTTGTCCGGGTGGACCGGGACTACGTGGCGCAGGCAGCAGAGCTGGCGCGGGCAGGGGGCTGCAAGCACTTTATCCTGCAGTCCTCCCAGGGGGCAAACGCACAGAGCAGCTTCCTCTACCTCCGCGTGAAGGTGAGGAGTCAGCCGGGGTGGGCTCCTGGTGCTCGTGCAGGAGTCACAGAATGCTGGGATGCTCGCGAAGGAAGGAGTAGCTGAGGTCTCAAGAGTTGCAAATGGCTCAGGGGGTCCTCCTGGTGCTGTGGGACAAGGGAAGGGGCTGCTATGTGACTGGCTTCGTCTGAAGCAGCATAACCCTGCATGCAGTGTTTATCTCCCTCTTTAAACCTGGACAGACTCGCTGGGGTCTCTTGCCCAGTCCCAGCTCCCCAGCCTCAGGCTGCTTCACAGCTAGGTGGGGAGGCTATGTCCCAGTGAGATGTGAACGATCCAGGGATGGAGAGCCCACAGGCTCCCCAGGTGGGACCATACCTATCGCAAAAGCTTTTTTCTCCATATGTCGTGTGCTGCCGCTCCCAACACCTGCTGGATTCACAGCTGTCTGCCAGCGTCTTGTGCCGGCTGGATCCATCCCCAGGCTGGATGCAAAGTCCAGTTGCTCTCGGGAGCGGCCCGTTGCAGTTAACATGATGGTTGCAAGGGTGCGCTGCTGACTCACAGTCTGTGTCCACTGCGGGCACTCGCCCCACGCTGCCTGTCCTGAAGAGCTGCTCCCTGCCTGGCCTCTTCCAGCTTTGCACTGGCATTAGTGCCGTCCTGCCCACAGCTCAGCAACTCCCTCCTGCCCATTCACGGAGTGGCAGGGATGGTGCTTGCAGTCATCCTTGTCTCCTTTCATTCCTGCCCAACTGCTCTGACAGGGAGAAGTGGAGAACCTGGTCCAGGCTGTTGGTTTTGATCGCTGTACCATTCTCCGGCCAGCGTGAGTAGCAGTGGAGGAGGGAAGGCACAGGGCTTGGGTGGAGGGTTGTCAAGGCAGCAGGTTGGGAGATGGAGAAGGAGAAAGGATGCATAAGCAGGGGGAAGTGGAGAAGGCCACCAGCTGCAAATGCAGCTCACGGATGAGCAGACTGGTTCCCAATGCAGAGCTTGCTTTCTGCAGCAGTTTCCCATGGCCCATCCCAGTGCTAGTGCCACGTGCCATGCAAGGACAAGAAGCTGGGGCTGAAAGCAGAGGTTGGAGCACATAGGTCGGAGATTATCTCCGCATGGACCTTGACCTTATGCAGGGGGGGAGTACTCCCTGTGTCCTTTCAGCTGCACTGCGCTCTTGCTGCCTAGGAGAACTGGCATCCTGCTTTTGGCAGCACAGTGGAGAAGGAGTTGAGTGTCCAGGGGCTCAGTTCAGTCTCATTTTGTGGCCTTGCTAAAGCCCCAAAGCCCTGTGGGTTTAGGAAGCTGGTCTGCGCCCTGGTGCAGCTGTAGAACCCAGTCTCTAGCCTTCCCCTGGGGATGGTTTCAGGCTGACCCCACCTTACCTCCTTACTCTGCAGGGTGCTGCTGTGCAAGCGCCAGGAGTCCCGGCCCATGGAGTGGGTAACTCAGCAGTTCCTGGGTGTTGTCGCTCGGGTCTGCCCCACCGCTTACTCAGTGCCTGTGGAAACAGTGGCCAGGGCTATGGTGGCCTGTGTGCTGCAGCCAGGCGAGGAGAAGGTGAAGGTGCTGGAGAACAAGGCCATCCATGAGCTGGGAAAGGCAGTGCCACAGCAGGGCATGTAGAGCAAAAGGGATGGCAGGAAAGAGCTTGGTTCACCATTCCGACGCTCTTTTGGGCCGAGGATGAACACACGCATGGGAGAGGTGCAGGGTGCTTACATGGCTAATGTGGAGCCAGAGGTGGGTGCACTTTACACAGTGGGTCATTCTGTCAAGGAATCAAAAATGCAGATGCTGGATGAGGAGAAACAATGTGCTCTGCTGCCTGGATCCAACAAGCAAATGCAGATAAAGTGGCGTAATCCAGGCCTTGAATAAAACCCTATGACTAATCTGTTTGTGCCAGCTTTGTGTTTAAATTATACCTGTCACCTGCACATCAACAACCCAGCCTTACCTATCCAGATTGTGTCTTTTAGTAACACTACAGGGAATGCCCACAGGCAAGCGGCCATGCAGTAGATGGACACAGGAAGGCAGAATCAGCTCTCAGCTGTCTGTGCAGAGGCTGCACCTCACAGAGCACACGGTGGCACCAGTGCTGCTAGGATAGCAGAGCTCCTGAGTGCTCAGCAGCAGCTGCTGAGGTGCCTGGGGCTGGCTCTGCCCACAGCAGGTCTCTGCAAACAACACTGTCCTCGCTGATCTGCTGAGGGTGCAGAGGGACCGCTGCAGGGACGCAGCTGTTCGGGCCTGCGCTGTTGCTTGGTGCCTGTAGTCACATCAACACCACGCAAATACTTGGGTTGACTTGAAAACACCTGTCCCCACATGTCTCTCTGGGCTTTCCTTATATAAATGAATCAGAGCTCAGACCCATGTTCCTCAGAGTGCTGTGCATGTGCAAGAGCTGAGGCCAGCCACATGCACATCTTGGAGCGAGCTTGCCCCTGCCCCATGCTGCCCAAGTACCAGAAGGGGAGCAGGTTCCTTCTGTGGGCATGGAGCAGGCACGACGAGCAGTGCATTGTCCCAGCTGCAGCCCCAACCGTTCTCAGGCCTCCTGCTCGGGGTCGAGGAACTTGGTGGCTCGACAGCTGGGATGCAGGACTTACGTGACTCCCAAATTCCCAGCTGGCCAGAGTCCCAGCACTCCGGGTAATGCTGCTTTTCAGGATTTTCTCTGACCTCACCCGTGGCTCCTGTGTCAGTGACTTGGATGTGGCAAATGGAGGGAGCCTGGATCTCGTCTCTGTCCTCTACACAAGCAGTTTAATCACTGGGCAGGACCTCAGAAAGTTGGCAGAGGCAGTGAGATGGTGCAAGGCCTGCACCCGAGCAACTCTTCAACCACGTGTGGGGCTCAGTTCAAAGGGACCACAGAGCCACAGTTACTGCTCAGACTGTACCAGTGAGAGTAAATACAATACCTTTGGAGTAAAATTTCATATCCAAAGGGAGATGAGAGGTAGGCTGGTCAGGAGCGTCACACAAGTCTCTGAGGGGTGTTGAACTTGTGGAGCAGGAAAGCTGTTCAAGCACGCAGCACTGGGTTACACAGGCATAATGCATTCCAGTGCTCAAAGAGATTTTTAAAAAAGGGGATGTGCTTATACAGGGGAGTGGAAATGAACACCTGAAGTGGTAAGACCTTAAAAGTAGTAAAAATTGCATACAGAAGAGAGACTGAAAAAAGAATGTAAGCTCTGGAAAGTTACAGGTAAAAGGCAAGCCACAGAAGGCTTGAAGAAAGCATCCTAAAGGCATAAAAATGAATTATGACTATGTGAGAAGCAGAAAGGGAGCCTGAGGGACAGGATGTGATTAGGCTCTATAGGAAGAAAAGAGCCATCACAGGAAGACTTGAGGAATTACTTGCATTGCCCTTTGCTGTGAAAGAGCTCACACTAGCATCATTCCATAGGGAACACACATTTGCATGACTGTCCCAAAGCACGCAGGGGGAAAAAAATAAAAATATTTTTAACCCCATTTTTAGAACACATGGTTAAAAGTCTGCCAGAAGGAGCACTCAGATGAATTGCCAAATACTCTCCTGGGTGAGAATTGCAGTGATCCCTGTACCAAAAAGTCAACATTCTTAAATATGATACTAGTTTTTAAAAAGTTCCAGTGGGAACCAGGAAACTGCAAAGCAGCTAGGGTGCTTTCTATAAAAGGCATGTTGTTAGAAAGGATAATAAAGTCTGGAAATAACAGGGCCCAGGATAAATGTGGTGTAGTGGGAGATTCCACATGGCTTTTAGGGGGCAGTTGCAAGACACAAGCCTAGAGCACTCTTGGAGGAAACCAGCCATTGTGTACACAAGACAATCTGGTCCTCAGAGTGCACTTGGATCTCCAAAAAGCTCTCCCAGAAGGGCTCTTAAAGAAATTAAGCTGTCGTGGGAAGGAAAGGAAGGTCTGTGTAGTTTCTTACTGGAAATATTTTCTTAGCACTCCAAAGCCTTGAAACACACGAAACAAACATTTATTGCTGGACAAAGGTCTGTGGAAAATGCAAGTTATTTCTGTGTAACCCTTGTTTCTGCTTAAGTGGCACACAGTTTCTTTTTCAGTGTTTCAGACATCTCTGTTAGAATGCACAACTGCAATCCCAGCACACAGTATAACTTCCTTATCACCCTCTTGCATGGAATTTCCTCACACATTTTGTACCTCAGTTCCCCAGTTTGCTCTGTGCACTCATTAAGCCCCCCCACCCTAGAGCTGTGGAAGAGATCACAGGGCATCAATCACTGAACTACCGCAGAGCCACAGGAGCAGGAGATTTGCCCACCTAGGGCTGAAAGAGGTAAAGGACATAAAAGCTTTAGGGGACAGACTGAGTTCCTTCATGGTGTCTCACTGGGTGAAGCTCTGAGTTCCTCCAAGCAGCAAGAGGTCTGCAGAGATGGGGCCATGCCCCTGACATGCCTGGAGTGTCTCTGCTTTCCAGGGGCTTGTAGCCCTGGCTGGAGCTGGGAGGAGAGCACAGAAGGGTGTTCAATGTCTCCTGGACAGCATTTGCACAAACCTCCTGGTCCCACAGACCCAAGTCCTCCTGGGATTCCAATGCTGACTTTATTACTGAAGATTAATGAGAAGAAATAACTGCATTCCCAATGGCTCAGCAGCAAGCGTGGGGCTATGGGGGTTTCCCATGCGGTGCCATGGCCCCGCTGTCCTTCCCAGTCCTGAGCTGTGAAAACTGCTGGCAC